GCTCGCAACTGCAATAAGGTCATATGAGCTCGCGGGACATACTTAACATTTTCAATTGGTAGAAAATTTTGAATTTTGCCCGGGTGGCGGCCGACGCCTTCTCTTATCGATTTTGGACCTCCAAGGGATCTTAAAGGTGCACAACTTGCACGCAGCACCTCCCAGATTTTTTGCCCTTTTCGGGGCAGGTTAAGTGTTAGATCTTACCTACCATAAGATCATGGGTGTGGCTAATGGACAGCAGTAAGAAGGAGCCAATGAGTAGCAGTGGAAAAGCTGCAAAAAGAATCAGGAGCCCAGAGGAGGGGGCAAAGGAGGTGAGGGAGTGGGGGCAGAAAGTGCAGACGAAAGCAGACGACAGAACATTGTTAGAGAGGAGAAAAGAATTTGAAATAAGAAAGTTTGACAGAAAAACAAAGTCTGTCGCTATCTGGATTTGAACCCGGGACCTATTGAATAAGAGGCAAACACCTGAACTTCTAGACCTCGAGAGCGCCCTAACTTTGTATGGCATTCCATGAAAATCTATCACGGTGAACCGCTCAACTACTGAATAATCAGGTGAAGAGTTTCGAGATTATGCTTTTCAACATGTCGTGTAGCTTTGTTTAGGCCCTGCATATAACTCCGTTTGCACACCCTTCAGTTCGGTATGTACCAGTTTCTTTGGGGGGGATTTTCTGGGAGAATCCCCAGCGTGGTCTGTCGACCATGAACGCGCCTTTACATTGATTGTTTTGGATCCCGGATCTATCTCGACTTATTTTTCTGTTATGTGTTGTGGTGCAGGAGAGCACCAAGAGTTTGAGCTGATACCTGAGAACGACAGGCTCCCTATCTTCATCGATGGTAATGTACAAAGCGTTCTTTAGCGAAGATTGTATTTTATACGATGTGAATTATCGCTTTTATGTGTGTGTGTATGTGTGTGTGTTTGTGTGTGTGTGTGTGTGTGTGTGTGTGTGTGTGTGTGTGTGTGTGTATGAGTGTGTGTGTGTTTATGGACACGCGCTGCCTTTGCGCGTCACAACAAGTTGGCATCAAGCGTTTGTTAATTTTTGGGGCATTTGTGGAGTTATTGGTATAATTCTAAAGCCTGTGCATTTGTCCTGCTTTGTTTGCATATAATTATTTTGAAAATTAGCATTTATCTGCAGTAAAAGTGGAGATATTTCGACTGAAGGAAGACTGGTGGTCGTCTTGCATCAGAAGTGAAATAAACGAGAAAATGGCCGCCAAAGTCTGGTGACTTCCAGAGCTTGAGTATCCTTGGAAACTTCAAATTTACTTTTAATGCTTTGTTAAGCGGTTTTCAATAAAAGAACACTGAGAAATGTGTTTTCCTATGGACACGTAATGTAAGGTGATGAGCGAAAAATAAATAAATAAAAGTTACTCAAAGAGCGTGAAAATGTCAATTTCTTTGACTTCATTTTTTTTTTTTTTTTTTTGACGAGCGCCTGATTTCACTACGACACCACACACAATAATATTATCATAGGTCTTAATCCCGATGCACCACAGCACAGGTGTCAAACTCAAGGCCTGTGAGAGAGTTTTAGGTTGTCCATCATGAGAAACTTCTTTGACAAGGGACCTTACTCACCCATAAACAAACGTGTTGCCAAGTAAATATCGTAAACATCCAGCTCTGACAAGTTGGCATAAGAGCTAAAATTTGGCTGCCCTGATCTATTTATATTTAAACTTAAGTCTTTTTTAAATTTCATATCATTCTTTTAAAAAGGGTAAATTTACCACCGCTCAATTAGTTTTCATTCCATTTCGGCCCGCAATCATTGGTGCAATTTGAGTTTGGTCCCCGGAGCGATCGAGTGTGACACATCTGGGCCTCAGTATTCTAGATTCTGCTTAGGTACATCCTACTTCACTAGAGTCTGTGAACATAATAACATAGATAAACGATTTATGGGTGTATTTACGGTGTAAATGTACAGATGATGTATCTAGCGCTATAAACTTGTAAACCATATTATAATAATATACTTTTATTTGGGATGGGGAGGAAATCTTTAAGTTACAGAAATATTTTGCACATATTGATATTACAAATATATTCGACGAAAAACAAAATCCTGTGTCTGATCAGGGTTGTAAAAGTCACCGGTTTATCGTAGAGGGACTTTATTCATTTCTTCCTCACATGTCTACCAAACAAGAAAAACACCCCTAATAATAGCAACGACAAACAATCAGAACAGCAGCTTTCTTTAACAACTCCGTTGCTAGACTCAAGACAGACTGATGCTCTTTGGTAGGACTGTGGAGCAGGCCTTCTTTGGGAGGCTTAATGGTTTCAATTCCCAGGCAGTATCCTCTAAATAATAGACCATGCACATGTCTAGCTTGTTTCGATTTTGAAATTTGTTATAGATCTTTTATTCTATGTTATGTTTCGTTATGTTTATGTACATTTTCATCTGTTAAAAGGGACACTAGTCTTCTGGGGGAAAAAAAAGAAAAAAAAGTAAAAATGCCAGCCAAGTCTCACCGCGTCCCTTTGGCTGAGACTTAGCTGAGACCCTGTCTCCTATCTCAGGCGTATAATTATATCATTTTACATTGAAGCTACCTTTCCCTTCCTGCAACTGGATACAGTAATACGTTATTACAGTATTTCACCTCTTTCTTCCTGTTTGGCCATAAGCTTTGTGATTATGTAGACGGAAGTTCATTCTTTTCTTTACCACATTTCTACCAACCAAGAAAAACGCTTCACCTCTTGAAATTAGTTGTAAATCTATAAACCTATGATATGTTTTGTTATGTTAATAATAATAAATAATAATAAATAGCATTTGTATAGCGCATATCCCCGCTCAACAGCAGGCTCTATGCGCTTTACACTATATTATTACCCCAGCAGACCACAGAACACTCCGAAACATTCTCAGCTTTCCGGGAAGCATACAGTGCAAGCAGCTGATTAAGCGCTCAAACACTAACAAACTGACAAGATCTTTCGCTGTTTATAGCCGGGTACCCATTCCCACCTGGGTGAAGTGAGGAAAATTCGTGTCGGACCCCTAACGGGATTCGAACCCACGACCTTCCGGTTGCGAGGCCACTGACGCCACATGTTAATGTAAGGAAACCAGTCCTCTGGACAAAGAAAAATATATCAAAATGTCAGTCTATAGTCCCATCGCTTCCTTTAGACTGAGATTCTGTCCCCTTACTATGATGGACACTATACTGTTTTACTAAGTAGCTACCTTTGCTTCCTGCAACTTAATATAGTAATGCACCATTACTATTTCACTCGTCCCTTCTGTTCTGCTATAAGCTCAGTGTTTGTGTGAATATGATTAGTTTACCTGACTAATGTACTGTGTAATGAAATTATAATATGGGAATTTCATGTAATGGAATCGAGCTAAGTCCGGTGTTCCGGGTTCTGCTCGATGAGAAATGGGGTGAATGTAGAGAATGGTGCGAAATTATTTCGTTATTTTGAAATGGCTGTCCTCTAAATAATAGACTATGTACATGCCTAGTTTGTTTTGATTTTGAAATTGGTTATAGATCTTTAAATCTATGTTACATGTATGTTTCGTTATGTTTATGTACATTTTCATCTTTAAAAAGGGACATTGGTCCTCTGGAAAAAAAAGAAAATAAAGTAAAAATGTCAGCCAAGTCTCACCGCGTCACCACGAGTTATTTATTTCTTTGTCCAGAGAACTGGTTTCCTTACATTAAGGGGGGGGGCTACACCTCCAAAATCAAAATTCGGCTCAAAATCATAGAATTTGAGTTGCAGGCATTTTTAGCTTCCTCAGCCTCTCCTACAACTATTTCATGGCATAAGAACCCCCAAAAACGTATTTTTTCCCATACCGGGCATGTTTGTAACCGCCATTTCCTCATAAAGTCAGTATTTTATTTTTCTTTATCAGCAGTTTTCTCAAAATGCGACTTTTCTCTATACTTTTTTGAATAACTCCACCATTGTTCATCCAATCTTCATGAACTTTTCACAGAATGAAGAGAAGAGGTAATACTAAAAATGTATCCGTTGAATTTTTTATATATGGAATAGATTTTTGTTGGTGGTGTCTGGAGTGTCGATTTTCACGGATTTTTTGAAAACTTGAATGCTACCTCAGGAAAAAATTCATTAAAAATTTTCTAATTCGATTAGGAAAAAAACAACAAACAAATGTTTAGATCTAATGTTTGTGAACACGCATGCAAAAAAACAATCAATTTCCATGAGTGATAAGTGCGGTATTCATTACGTAAGACATGTCAATAAAATCCAATATGGCGGCGTATCCATGGAAACTAAACTTTTTTCTCAAATTTGATTACGGATTTTAAGACTCCTTACCATGCTTGTTACATGTGTGAAATTTGGTAAAATTCGGTCCAGTAATTAGCGAGATAGCCTCCAGGTGTAGCCTCCCCCCCCCCCCCCCCCCCCCTTAAAATAACAAACATATCATAGGTTTATAGATTTAGAGCTAATTTCAAGAGGTGAGGCGTTTTTCTTGTTTGGTAGAAATTTTGTAAAGAAAATAATGAACATCCTTCTACATAATCACAAAGCTTATGGCCAAACAGGAAGAGAGAGGTGAAATATTGCAATAATGTATTACTGTATGTAGTTGCAGGAAGAGAAAGGTAGCTTCAATGTAAAATGATATACCAGGGCGAGTCAAAAAGTAATGCACATCTCTGACAAGCACGATGTTATTTTAGATCAGACATGGGAAAACTATAGCTAGTGGGCCAGATACGGCGTGGGGGCAGATTCAGTCTGGCACGTGAGTAGACCCAGCAATTAATAAAGAATGTGGCAGGCCATGAGTTATGTATATTTTTTAAACAACCAAAAGTGCCCGTCTAGAAAACGGAGTCAATAGTCACCGGCCCAACGGAAAGAATTGGAATGAATACTAATACATTTCTTGAAATATCCTTGGGTGACAGTTGCTACTGGGTCAGTTTTAGTTTCACTTTTAAGAGCTCGGGTATTTTTTAAACTGATTTCACCTAATGTATTGCTCCTGCTTTGTCCCGCGAGAAAAATACGAGACATCATAAGAGCTTTCTTTTGCCCGCGACCTGGACACGCTTGCCCATGCCTGCTTTCAATAGTTTGATTTAGTTTAGATTTTCAAAGACAAATGTTGTTAAAATCTTGCTTTGACGTTTATACAAAAGCTTTGATTGACGTTGCTGTTTTTGTCTCAGTCGCTGTTTCAGCACTGACATAGTTACGACAATGTTGCGGGGTTGTTTCTTTTTGTTTAGTTGCTTTTTGCGATGGTTTTTGGGCTGTTTTTTTTGGGGGGGGGTTTTGTTTTAATATTATCGCGTTTGTATATATACATGTATATTATATTATAATAGAATGCACAAGTATCAAGCAGAATCGCTAATCGCTCCTTTCCCTTTTGTTTTTGTTCTTTAAAGGAATAATATTTTCTTGATCACTTCCACAGAAATTGAAACGAACTAAATTACATAACATCAGGAAAGACCAACTTGAACCCAGACATTGCATCTGCAAGGATGATGTCTGTTCCCTACTTAGCTCTGTGCATGGCTTGCCTTGCCAGTGTATTTTGGGATGCTAGATGCCAAGGTGAGGGTTACCATAAAAGTTTTAATGTAGGTGTTTTTTACGTCTCCAACGACACAATTTGGATCATTAAGGATTCTGGCCCTTCAACATCCCAGCAGATAAACCTATAAACTCGAAAAAATGTCTCGAGTCTCCTGCGTGCGACAATGAAGTGTCAGTGTCTGAACAGCTACATCACATACGCTGATTGACAGACTGTTAACCCCAGTTGGTTGGAGAGATTCGCATTAAAAATATTAAAATCAAATGTATCATGTTCCTTCAATAGGTCCCGGATTCGAATCCGGATAGCGACAGAAAATGTTCTCGTCTAAAACGTTATCTTTTCACCTCATTTCCTGCTCTCTAGTAATGATCTATCCTCTGCTTTCGTTTCCATTTTCTGCCCACACCTCCTCACCTCCTTTGCCCCCTCTTCTGGACTCCTGAGCCTTTCTGGAGCCTTTCTACTGCTACTCTTTGGCTTCTTCTTACTGCTGTCTTTCAGCCACACCCCTGATCTTCAGGTAGGAAAGATCTACACCTAGTCTTCTCGGATAAGGGTAAAAAATATCGGAGTTCCCGTGGCAAGTTGTGCACATTAAATATTCCTTGTTGGTCCAAAATCGATAATAGTAGGTTTCGGCCGCCACCAGGAAAAAAATTCAAAATTTCCTACCAATTGAAAATGTTAAATGTGTCCCGCGCGCTCATATGACCTTATGCAGTTGTTAGTGCCGTAAAACACTTTCAAAAAAGCAACTTGACACTAATTCAGACAACTTTTCAAAGCAAAATGAAACCGTTCATAATTTCAAGAATATCGAGCCATGTCTTTTAATGACATGACTATCCCCACACGTGACAAAATAAACAATTTCAAGTCTATTTCAAGTCTTTTGGTAATACAAACATGTCTGTAGTAGTATAAGGTTTTACGGCGCTCGCAACTGCTAAGGTCATATGAGCGCGCGAAACACAAGTTGTTCACCTCTGCGAAAGTTCACTTCACGACTGGTAACTAATTTACTTTAAAATGCTAAAAAGTTAAAATATTCAAATTCGGTGTAAATACATTTGTGATCTAAAACACAAACATGTCTAGTGTCACATCCCAATAAGTCCTCATGGAAAATATGTCAGAATGACTTTGTCTGACGTTCTATACAAATCTTAGACCGTGTATCTACTGTGTAGATGTGGGTGGTTGGCAGGTGCTCTGGTGTGGTTTGCTCCTTCTTTCCTATCAGTTCTTCTTTTTTTATGTTTGTTACTCTTTTGTAACACCTCTAATCTTCTGGCGCTCATATGACCTTGTGAAGTTGCGAGCGCCGTAAACCCTCTACTAAAACTAAACTGTATAGACAGAACAACGTTCAATTTTTTTTTACGCGTGTACCCGGGTTCTATCATTTGGACTTATGTGTACTTGCATTGTGTACATGTATACTGCGCAGTTAAGGAGCAGTAAGTCTTATACAATAGCACTTGCCAACATTTCAGTCTTCTCACTATCCACATTCCAACAATCATTGTATTATATTTATTGATAACTTGCATGTTTCACGTATGCTTAGTCCAGCAACATATCTCTTCTGATTGGGAGCTGTATCCAGATGAAAAGACATATCCTCCCTTTTTATAGATACTTATGCCAGAAATTTTCTTATAATGATTGAGAGCTGTATCCACATGAAAAGACACATTCTTCCTTTCCACAGATGCCTATTCTGGTAATTTTTCGATTGAGAACTGCAACTGGGGGAGACAACATGTCCTTGACTTCGCAGGTAAAAAGGTCAATGTGTCTATTGCAGGATTTGCAGGCCATAATCTTTCGTAAGTACAACTTCTACCAGGTATCACATTTGAGTGATGTTCTAATTATATGCACAGTAATACTCTGTTTTCGAACTATTTTGGGTGAATGGTTTATGAAACTTTTGTCATATCCTTTTTCCAATTTATGAATTTGTTGTCTGTTATAGTACCAAAAAATATTGAATTATGTGTCACAATTCTGTATCCCATATGAAATCTACATAGACTTCTAGATGGAGCAAGCCTGAAACAGTAAGATAAAAAAAAAAACCACGTGTATAATTAAAGTGAAAAAAATCTTCATACGTAAGGACGAATGTTCAATTTCTCACTAAAGTGTACAAACATCAATTTTACTTAAAAGTAATTTACGATTCCAATCCTTTTTGTCCTTCAATGTTGCCTTCATTTATAGATGATGGTCTTTTTTCTCCCGAAAATGTATTGTGTACTGGCTGCTCTAATTTTTTTTTGACGGTCGTATTTGTTTCGCGGTAAATAACGTCTTTCGAAACAAGATAGAAATAAAAACTGAAAAGCAGCCATTGTGTGAAATAAACTCCAAACAAGATGAAAAAAGTAAGGCTGAAAAGTGTAACATGAACATTATTTTTTTCCTTGCAGAGCAAACGTTACGTGCACCACCAACATCTATGCTCGGAACGATTACATACATCTGAAAGTCTCACGATTCAGTCTCTTGGGGTGTTCTAAGTGCACACCCAGTTCTGAGAGACTGACAATTTCTCACGCCGGCTTTAGGACCAGCGGTAAAATAATAGAATTACAGAGGGAGACTTGGGGTAAAATGATCATACAGACTTCAACATAAGTTAAGGACCACTTTGAAAGTGAGCCTTGATTTTTTTTTAATCCGAAAAAAAGACAGCAAGGAATGTTTCAAAATGTTTTGCTTTGAAAGTGTTAATGGATTACCAGTGCGCACTGCAAAGCTTCCTAAAGGGGCAAAACCACCACGTGCTGTACGGAAATCCTCGGGGCATTTTTGCCAAATTTGCTGTTTTTCATCGACTTGTGTGCTACACCACGTACATTCCTCCCTTAAATTTCTGGTGAACGTCATAAAGGGACGTACGGTCTCGAACTCTGCTCACTTTGGTGGCAATATAAGCCTCCGTTTGCGCAAAATCCAGTATCGCATCAATATTCTACCGAAATGAAAGGTGAGAGACTTTGATCGTGCCAGAGCTATGGCATGGCTGCAGGATGGAGTTGGAGCCCGAGAAGTTGTCGGAAGGCTTGCTGCAGTGTCACATTCTATCTGTCTTTGTCCGCTTGAGGCAGCGCCATTAAGCCCCTGGATCAGTCCAAGAACGCCCACGTGCAGGTCAACCCAAGAAGACCACACAGAGCGTTTGCAAATGGTCCTTAACTTATGTTGAATTCTGTACATAGAGTGAGGGAAGCTAGTGGGAAGGATGGGGGGAGGGAGTTAAGGGTTTGGAGGGGGGGGGGGGTCTTACCGTATTTACTAAATTGTGTGTGCTTACCTTTTGAAATCAAAAGTCTGAGTCCCACATCATTTAAATTGTGATAATAATATTATAATATGATCAACAGTGCTATAAAAATAATTTTCTCTTTAGCACCAGTTCCAGGATGTTGATAAATAGACTTTGGATCTTGAACTCATTTATGCTCATTGTAATATAAATTTGTGGCGGATTTTTGAATGTCCAATGATTTGTTTCTTGGCGTGAGTGAATAGCGGCACCACTTAGGTCCTACTTCCTTTCCTTCCCTCCGTAGTTTCTGTGTGTTTGTCTTCCTTTTTTCATACACCAAATGACTGCTATTGTGCAGATGTGCTGTATATTCAAACAAAGAAACAAACAAATAAACAAGTAGTCAAACAAATACAAACAAACAAACTATTGCATACCTACAGCATATTGTTACGAGCGGCAAGAAACTGAAGACTTTAATGTTTTCTCCCAGACTCCATCACATGGTGTGGAGAAACCTACGCTGAGGAGCTGTACTTTAAAGGGACTGTTATTTTGGAGTACAATACTGGTTTACACGGAGAAGGTGATGGCTTTGACATCGAAGTGAGCCGTGGTAAGGGGAAATTTTGTATTATCTTGTTATTAAGAGCAGATTAAAAAAAACAATCAGAAAAAGACAAATTATGCAGTTTTTGGTGGCACCTGATAGACATGAAGGCCTTGAATATCTAGATCTAGATCTAGCTCTCATTGGCAAAACTGATGGCAAACCAGGCAAGGCTATGCCCAGGAAAAGCTACTTGGAGAACCTTAACAGATGGGTGACGGGGAAAGATCAGGGTAATGTAGCTTTTGTTAAAGAGCATCCGGGCAAAGGAATGAATGGAGAACTATTATCGCCGATGCCTGTCGCAGATTTGGCACTTGATGATGAATTAGAAATCCATCAATGTTCTTCAACTATATGTATATCTTTGCCAGTTCTTTTTTCTTTTCTTTGTTCATTAATAACACTGTAGCTTATGTGAGATTGGTATCTGCTTGTCTCCGTTTAAAACTATAAAGACATTGGAGGAATATATTATTATTATCACACTCCAAAGTAAACTTTATCGAAATGCACAAGCTTTGTAGGTAATGGTCGATCCAATTTTCATCATTTAGGAGGCAGGCTGATTTGATCCCGTCTGTGGGAGTATTGAGGTTGGATGCTTACCTCTCATTAGCCGAAGTCATCAATCATCTACGCAAACCGGGCAGGAACTCTGCCCGGTTTGCGTAGATGATTGATGACTTCGGCTAACCCTGATCCTAGATGTTCTGATACTCTGGTGTCAAGTTCCTGTTTTTTTGAGAAAAGAAATAAATATATTATGGGAGTTCAGTGTGCTCGAAGTGCACGTTAAAAACACTATGAGAACTGAAAGTAGAATTGAAGGCAGGACTGCCCAAGTCAGCTGACCAGACAACATTAAAAATCAATGCCAGCCCAAAACTATTGACATTTATTATTACGATAAGTTAAAAGAAAAAAAATATATCCCTTTTCTTCCGCTCAATGGGGAACTTTGAGTTATATTTGGTATGCTGGGTACAACAAAGCGCATTATACATAACCTTAGTATTTGCCAATTACAAGTTTACAAACGCAACATAGCCCTACAGGATGACACCCTGTTCTTGAGTTAAGGTTAGTGTGCCTTGGTCCAGGACCAAACCCATTGATCTTCTGCGCTTTTTTCTTTCGTATGAATTCATAGATCAATGTACCACTTGCTGACTGCTTTTGTCTTTTTTTAAATGAAGGTGAAGAGAGACAAGATTGATAGAAAATGGGTCTGTGTCTCATACATGTAATAGATTTCTGTATGGAATGAAGAACAGAGACAGTAGGAGGAAAATAAAAAGTAAAAGGTGGTTAAGACGCTTTGCGATTGCTTATGTATAAGAAAACACTTTGGTTGCTTTGGGAATTTTACTTTTAATCAAGTATGTTTGTGCATGTACGTTTGTATGAGTGTTTGAGTGTGTGTTTGTGTGTGGGCGTGTGTGGGCGTGTGTGTGGGGGCGTGCGTATGTGTGTGTTTAAATTGAGTAGGTGTTTTACGGCACTATCGACCCAATTCTGGTCATCTAAGTGCCATTATGTGTGTGTATGTGTGTTTGTGTGTATGTGTGTATGTGTGTGTGTGCGTGTGTGTGTGTGTGTGTGTGTGTGAGTGTGTGTGTACGTGGACTTCTGTGCTCAAGCACACTTGGTTAAGTATTTGGGATGGTCTGATCTCCACGTTTGTCACTACAAATTTTGTTTAAAATAATATTTTCTTCTTCGCATTATAGTGACAAGACCTTGTGTGGAGGAACAAACGCTTACAGTCACTGACAAGCCTCGTCTTCTATACTCACCACTGTACCCAAACAAGTACCCGAAGTACGTTGACCACCAATTGCCATTTCGAACTGTACAACTGCATGGGTAACAAGGGGGTAGGGGACGGGGGGGGGTGAGGAGGTGGTCACCGTGGAGTTGTATTTAGGTTGTGCAAAATAGAGTCTACATAAAGAGAACTCAGACGGAAAACAGAGGGAAACTGAAAGAAAAGAAAATCACCAATTATATTTTGTCTTCTTTGCCTTTGTAAGAAAACTACCAAATAGCCAAAATGCTTCCATTTCTATACTGAAATGAATTTCGAGAGTTATTTCGTCTAATTCTTCACTAGCAACCCTCAAGTAACGCAAATGATCATGTATTATGCGCTTCAAGACAGGGGCAAGAGACACCAGAGCGTACAGGTGTCGGCTGTGGACTAAAGAGAGGCATCGCCAGTGAACTGCTTGCCTGCATTTCCTACAAACATCAATAGTCCTACACTCTGTGTGAAGTCCCAGTGAATCAAGGACAGCTAATGAACGGCTTTCCAGAAACTTTCTATTTGTTAAAGCCTATTAGATAACAATATTTGTAACTCTGTCTCAAATTTTGATAGACGAGTTCTGGTGTGTGTGTTTGTTTGTTTGTTTTGGTGGGGGGGGTTTTAGGGGGGGGGGGGGGTTGTTGCTTTTACATTGATGCTGTGCTTCCAGGAAAAAAATGTGTTCACAGTTAACTTTTTTCCTAACAGTCTGCTTAACTGCCGGTACAAACTGCTTGGACTGGGGCAGAATCTACGGATCAGATCCTTGAGTTTTGACGTTGAATGGAAAGACCGATGTCTTTACGATTATCTCCGTATAAACCAAGGTGAGCAACTGGCGTTATGTTGAGCAAGATGCATTCTAACATGTGACATTCGTTGTGAGCATTATTACCGACAGAAATAATAATTTTGTGCGGCATCGTGGTGGAACCAGGTACTCGTCAAAATTATGAATTGAAGAAAGTGGCATTATTCCTCCCATTCAGAAATTTATTAATTGAATTTGTGTTTGTTTTTCGCTTAGCACCTTTTATGTTCATTTAAAACACATTTCTGTGTCGATTTTACTTTTAATATGTTGACTGAAGGCACAAAAGTATAAATTTACAGTTTCCAAGGACTCTCAAGCTTTGTAAGGCACCTAAATTTGGCGGACATTTTCTCGATTATTTTACCTGTGAAACCAGGGGACCCCCATCCCCTTTAATCGCAAATATCGTCTATTCAAGATAGATGAGTATTTTTTCAGTGTATATTTTTTTTCTTTTTTTCGGTCTAGATTCGTTTCTATGACACTGTAACCCCCCCCCCCCCCCCCTTTCCTCCTCACGTTTCCAAACTTACAATGTAATTAGCTTGATGGTGTCTGCTGCTGATGGGCCATCTCCCTGGAAGCCTATTTTACAGGAGTTACATAAAAAGTTTTACTCACTTCTTCAGCTCAAAGTTTGTGCAAATAAGTAAAAGAGCACTTTTTAAAAAATGATTTTGCAAATTTATGGATATGGTTTTTTTTAAATCCTGCTTTAAGATGTTTAAAATGGGGCAGTCGACAATTTCGCAAATAGTTCATGCACTTTGCACCCAACACTGTCAATATATCATAATCTCAAAAGAAATAATTCAACTCATGATTTTTCCATCGTTTTCATACCTACTTCAGTGAGGTACTGTGGGATTCAAAGCATCGACGTCTTGGAGACTTCAAACTTCAACAGCGCCCGCGTACATTTTCACACCGATAGGAATATTGGTCTGACGGGCTATGTTTTGGAGTACTTTCATGAACATCAGTGTAAGTGGACTTCTCTTTTTTGAGTTTTTTGTTTTGTTTTGTTTTGTTTTGTTTGGGGGTTGTTTGTTTTTTGTGTTGTTGTTTTTTTTGGGGAGTTGGGGGGGTTGTTTTTGTTTTGGGGGGGTTTTTGTGGGGGTGGGGTGGGGAGGGGGGTAAATCAATTAAGGATGGTTTTTTGTTTTGTATCTGTCCATACTATATTGACTTATCATTATATAATAACTGCTTGCGCACGCACACACATACACACATGCATACACACACACACACATGCACACACACATGCACACACACACATGCACACACACACACACACACACATACGCACACACACGCACACACACACTTACACATATACAAACAACGGTGCACATTCTCCTCTACATGTGTTTATTCATAATTCTTTGTCATCGTGATCAAGTCAGACTCTCGACAGTATAAGGAAACCCCCAGAGACACACACATTTTTTCGCCCTTTGGACAATAATTATCGGTGTCGAGTTTTATTCGGCTCAGCACCTTTTATGCCCTTCCAGAAATACATTTTAAAAACGAATGCACAAAAACGTAAATGTGCAATTTCCGGTGACACCTACGCTTTGAAAGTCTCCAAACTTTGGCAGCCATTTATGTGTTCATTTTACTCATGACACAAGGCGGCAACCCTTACCTCATTCAATAGTAAATATCTCGACTTTTGTTTAAGATAGATAAGTATTTTTCTTCGTCAAAAGCAAGACTAATGAACAAGCTTTAAGGTGATACTAATAATCTCATATTATGCCCGAAACTAATTAACAAGCGCTGATTCCAGCGTGCCATTATATGTACTCAAGCTTACATGGCTTTACGTTTCCCTTTTCGGAGCAGCACGTGTTCTAAATGATTTGTATGTGTTTATAGAGGGGCAAGACTTTTACAGTTATAACACACAATGCTAACCACTCTTTGCTTACCGTAAGTCAAAACGCTTCCGGTTTATTTCTAAGTAAAGGGAGATCATTATACCGATTGTGGACCTGACAATGGGTCACCATGGATTCTCCCCCTGAGTAATCGGTTATGATCCCGTTCGCAAGTATCCCCCATTTTCCTTGTTCCTAAGAACGGGATTTTAGGCTAAGACTACGGTACGTGTAGTATTTTGTTGTTGCTGTTGTTGTCGTTGTCGTTGTCGTTGTCGTTGTCGTTGTCGTTGTCGTTGTCGTTGTATCTCGTGTTTCCCTGCTCCCCAGATCCAGTTGTGTGTGATGGGAACACGTCACTGAAGTTGATCGAGTTGCCAAGCAATGAGAGCTCACTCCTCATTGAGGTGAAAATCAACCGCACTACTAAAAGGTAACTTTTTTTTCTTTTTGTTGTTGTTGTTGTTGTTGCCGTTATTTGTTTTGGGGATTTTTATGACTATGAACAATCAAGCTATGGTGAACTCCAGTTGTACCAGCGCGACGTACACCAAGAGTTTAATGAAAAATCACTCTATGGAGGTACTCTTGATCATATTCTGGGTCATTTTCTGCACTTTAGAAATTCATCGCATCTCTTTACGATAATTGTAATATTTCCAACGCTTTCTTTCACGCTTACGTATTGACAAAGTGTCTGGCGTTGCAAGATATTCTACAAAATGTAAAAGAGTATGTTTGTTATGCAGTAAAATAAAAGTATTTGCAGTCAATTTGCACTAGCACTCTGTTTTATCGTTCATTTCCGTCTGAAAGTCTAGTCAATCATTCGATCACCAAGGTGGGGTCTTTTTTTTATTTACGTAGTTTTGTTCAAGCGTCCTATATGACATATTGGCATAGGATCTGACATTACGAAATAAACTACAAACCGCTTGAGGTATTATTTATTGAAAACAATCGTATGAGTGGGGGGTTTAGAAGGTGTGTCAGTGGATATACAATTTCTCCTGCCCTGTTGAGATTCATGCTGACCTCCTCTCCTTTCCCGCTGTATGATGGTTCATCTGTTTGGTCAACGCTTTTATATGGCTGTGAATGCTGGACAATCACTAAAGACAGAGAAAATAAAATAGAAGCAACAAAAAAGTAGTTTCTTAGGAGACTGCTAAGAGTATCGTGGAAGGAAAAGAGGTAGTGCTTGATGAAGCCCACGTGGGATGCTCAATGTTAAAAACAATCAGGAAACGACAAATGCAGTTTTTGGGACACCTGAATAGACACAAGGGTCTTGAACATCTAGCTCTCACTGACAAAATTGAGGGCAAGCGAGGCAGGGGTAGGCCCAGAACAATATACTTAGGGAACCTAAACAAATGGTTAACAGGGAAAGATCAGGGAAAAGTAGCTTTTCTGAGAGCATCCGAGCAAAGGAATGAATGGAAAATCATGATCGCCGATGTCTGTCGCGGATCTGGCACTGGATAATGATGATGATGATGGTTCATCAATGTAGTCGTTTTTTAGTCTTCATTTTTGTCACTGTGTTCTTAATAATCAACCTTATATGGGTTGTTTTTTTCCAACAGTAATTGCACCCTTGAGATTGATGCTGGTTCTGATGATAAAGTCCTTGAAATACGCACTCCGTCTCGTCAGAACAGTATTGACTGTAACAACGTGTTTATTCACACCTGTAAGTGACCTTTATTTTTATACAAATTTGGAAGTAGAGACACACAAAACGACCAAGTTCTGTAATTTTAGGAATTCTTTGTCTTTTCAGGTGTGTTTTTGCTTTGTTTTGTTTTGTTGTTAGGGGTACCTTTTTTGCGAGTAGTTCCTGTACACGGTTGAACTGTGTTTTATTGTTTAGCTTACTTTAAAAAAGTGTGATGTTAGCATCACAAGTGGGGGGGGGGGGGTTTCCTCCGTATCCCTGTTAATTACATATATAATCGTTTAAGTTAATAATATTTATCCTATCTGACGTAAATCTTAAATTAGAATGTCTTCGGAATTCGAATTATTTCCTCCCAGATTCAAGTTAAACTGTACTACAGAGACGGGGCTGATTGCCATACCGTGTTGGGGAAGTAAAACATTTACAATTATAAAACTATAAAATTATAGCTATAGCTTTTGCTCTCCACCAGTGCAATTCTCATCCTTTTTGACACGTAAAAAAAATAGGTTAATTAGAATCGAAATGTATTTGACCCCCAAGTGTGTTCATGGGTAAAATGTGCTCGTGCTTAGGGCGTAATATATGTGTGCCTGCGTGTGTATGTGTGTATGCGCGCATGTGTGCACGTGTGTGTGTGTGCAGGTGTATCTGTGTGTGTGTGCGTGTTCGTGCGTTTGTGTATATATATATTGTAATATGTATGTACACTAAGAATGATATTTTGTGCATTAGTCGGTGTGTGTCTCTATGTGTGTTTTTGAACCTCTTAATGTTTTTCACTACAGATAACCACAGTTCATGGCAGTTTACAGGTTGCCCTCGACCCGTTTCCTACCTGCGCACGTCAAGGAGAACCTTCAGGTTCATGGTGACTACGACAGGCATTAGGAGAGAAGGGTCCACTGGAGATTATGACGTTTTCAGTTTGCATGTCACACCGCTGGGCAAAGGTAGTCCGCTTGGCTCGGTTCCCATTTTCTTCAGAAGGTTTTTGTGTGTGTATTATTTGGGAGGTACTCACAGGGGTGGTTGGTTGATGCTATCGTGAGGTCTGCATCGTCGTCGTTTGTCCAATGTCATTCATATCTGTTTCTAGCAGAATGTAGCTGCTATTTCACTGACTCATCTTATACAATTTAAATAGATTCCATTACTAAAAGTATAAATAATAAATGTGACCTATATTCGGTAAATTTCTAGCATGCCCTTTGTATGCGCTGAAGGCCAAAGTACAGGGTGTGGCATAAAGATCTGCCACATGTAGGGGCACTGTGTCGACTGGGGTAGAAGTAGAGAGGTGAAACCTTCAATTTCGTAGTCATCGTTAATTGCTCAAAAATTTCTTCTTTTTTTTCAGATTCTACCACTTTCGTTTTCATCATTAATTTCTCAAAAGATTCCATAGTTCTATTTCTGTTTTAGTTTTTTGTTGTTGTTTCTTTACCCATCATGAATTGGACCAGTACAAATTGTGTTTTGTGTTTGTTTGTTTGTTTGTTTTGGGGGTTGTTTGTTTTGGGGTTTGTTTGTTTTTATGTTCAAACGCATATTGAAAATTGATAACGGTTTTAAAACCCTGCAAATTATTTTTTTTTATCTTGTTTTCAGAAACATAAATATTATTGCCATGTGTTCGTGACCAACCCTATTTCTGGCGTGAGTCAATACTGGGTTTGACCCACTTTGACTTGAAATAACTCCCTGTGATATTTTTCTGCAAAAGAATTGAAGCTATGTCCAAAATTCAACTATAACTCTTTAATTATAATTATACTCCCGGCAATTTGTCTTTTATACTTACTTTAAGGTCAGAATGGGTATCTTTTATTTTTCAGATATTTTACCGCCTTTACTCTCTGCTGAGAACACAACATCATTTGTTTGGATTGACAAAGAGATGATGAGGTAAAGCAAAAGACTGATCATATCGGAAGTGGACTGTGTCTCGGGTGTATCATAAGAATAAACTATTGAAGCAGTGCAAGAGGCCGTGTAGTTTGAGAATTTCACCAAAACATAAATGTTGTACAATAATATATCATGCTACGAGATCATTCATCAAAGTTTTTGCCAATGCACCAGATCTCGCAGTTCTCATACCTCACCGTTTTCTGTCCCAGCCTGGATCACGGTACGTTTGATTCCCACCTAGAGATGCCTCCTCCATCTTAGGGGCAAAGGTTGCTCAATATTGTAGTTGAATGGCAAGCAATGTCTGCATGACAGCTTTTATATGGTAGAGGACAGGGGTGCTTCTTTACTCAAGACTGATTTTTAAAATAAGATTGGTGTTTTACGGCACCATTGTCACAAAGAAACGTGATAACCCCCTCACCCCCACCCTTACACCCCCTCCCCCCCACCCTTACACCCCCTCACCCCCACCCTTACACCCCCTCACCCCCCCTTACACCCCCTCACCCCCACCCTTACCCCCCCTCCCCCCCCCCCGGAAAAAAAACGCTCAAAAGTTTACCATCAATAAAAACAGTATTGTTTGGGTGAAACTGTTTCTTGTTGACGGCGGGGGGGGGGGGGGGGGTTCTTTGCTCTAGGCATGATAAAATTTTATAAGATAGGCATTGTACAGGACCATGGTTATAAAGATATGATAGTACCCTCCCCCACCCCCAGGCTCAAAAACCTAGCATCAATTGTTGTTTTAATGAAACAGGTTCTTGGAGACTGGAATGTTTCTTTGCTCTAGATATTATTAGTTTTATAAGATAGAAATCATACTACTCCAAGGCCACAATGATATGATACCCCGCTCCCCAACCCCCCTCCCCAACCCCCTACCCCCACAGAGAGGGAGAGAGAGAGAGAGAGAGAGAGAGATAGAGAGAGAGAGAGAGAGAGAGAGAGAGAGAGAGAGAGCTCAAAAACCCATCATCAATAATTGTTGTTTGGGGAAAACTCGTTCTGGGTACACTGAGTTGAATGAGCTTAGCACTGTACAACGTTTTGTGCCTTGAAAAAGAAGCTGTTATTTAAAAATTATGTATAGCATGACATTGTGTCCGTAATTTACCATTTAGGATAAATACAGACAATGTCTTTTCTCTCTCTTCCCTTCCAAGTTCCTGACGAAGTGCTCATTCTTTTTTTTTTTTTTTGGATCAGAAACTCTTCTCAGTATGTGACTCACATCACGAAGCCGAGTGGCTGGAAATGCATCAAAGTGCAGACTCTAAGGTTTGACATGGGCCAACTACAAGAGTATGGGTCTGGTTCAAGCAGGCAGAGTCCGAACTTGATGCCAGTATCTGATTGGCTCACTGTCCACAATGGTAGGCCTTTGCTTTCTCCTCTCATAGAGCCTTGTCTATTATTGTCCCAATTTGTGGTTTGTGTAGACATCAGCTGATTGCTAGCTGTGAAACAATGGTTTGGGAATGCATTTGGTTTTCTAGTTTGAGTCTCAAAAAATTAATATTACTAATTTTCCTCTGTTGGGATTTCATTTTCCATTGCTCTCTGGGGATAAGACCATTCGCCCTAACTCAAATACTTTCTTTGTTGGGTAATAATATTGATTTCAATAGTGTTTTATCCTTTTATTGTAGGAGGACAGAGACGTGTAACATGCGTTTGTTGTTATTGGACCTTTTGATTGTTTGTTTGTTTGGTAGTTTTTCTAGTGAATTGCTTAAGACCAAAGATACGTATGATTTAGTTTTCCTTAGGTCGTTAGCACCTTCCAACTTAAGCTCTAGATATAACAACAGCGATTTTTTTCAATGTGCGTATTATCATCACACTTTGTCGGATTACGCGCTGTTCCATAAGGCCCAAGCTTCCCCGCAAAACGTAAAGATGTATTATATGTATGATATATGCGTTTGCCTCTAACTTGCCATAAGCCTACATGCCCTTTTAAACTTTCATTTTCAAAATCTTCCATTTTCAGGACGTAACAGTTCCTACTTTGACCTCACCATGGGATGCGGGAGCTCCAAAAGTACAGACTCACAAATTTACAGTAAAGGCACCGACGTGGTTACGGTGTCTGTGAATATGAGGTTAGAATGTGTTGTAGAACATTCTCTGATGAGGAACAATTCATCTACTCCTGGCTCTAGTGTAATTGTGTTGTTGACAAAGCAGCAGAATTACAGTGAGGAAAGATTATCAGAAATCTTCGCTTAAAACGACGAATGTTTCGAATTTGATGGTGGTGACTGATGCATTTGACATAATATTATGAAGACACAGGTTAATTTTTTTCCGAGCTATGGTGGGTTCCATCTCTGATTACATCTTGGTTTAGCCCATTATGGCCTTATGTCCATGCATATGTCAGCCGTATCCGGTGGTAGGCGTTAAACTGAAAATCCATCTCTCAAATAACTTTACAGTGTTTGCAGGGAAATTGAATCAGTATGGTGGCATATGAGCTGCAGCAACAGAAAATCCGTCACACGGTTCAACATTTAAATATTGGGACACATTCTGATTCATGACACCTTTCTGAGTACTTTGCACTTTATTTCATTCCAACATCTCCAACGGTTCGAAAGCTATAACCATTTGAATTCCATAGTGTAGAGAAAAACATACAATTTGGAAAATGGCAAAGTGAACAGAAGAGTGAATCCGCTCCCTCCCATTCCTCAAGCCGAATTTTAAAATGATGATTTTTAAGGTTGCTGTCTTGGGAAACGTCGGTGGATAGCAGTGTAGATTCAGGGAAAGCATGAGGAGTAAACGTTTTCGCAAGGTGGTGAAAGTCTTCAAAATAAACTATAACTGTTTGCTTAGTACGAAACCATACTGAAAAGCCTTGTGTGTATTAGGTACTGTATTTTATGGCCTTTTGCGTCTTGACAGACGAACAGCAGTATTCATGATACAGCTTGGTCTGGGTGTTAGACATAATGGAAGTAGAGTGTTCAAATAGTTCAAGTAGGCGATGCTTCCCTCCCTTCAAACCTTTACCTTTAATTCCTTGATAATATGCTTCAATGGAGTCATTGTCTACGAAGGCGTGAGGGATGTCTTACAATTGTACAGGTGCGATTGGGATCTCTTTACAATAAGGAACTTTTTAAAGATTTTGCTGGGGTGGCAGCCAAACTGCCAAGTCTCCTCCGATTTCCAACTGCCAAGAGATCTTTAACGTGCACAACGTGCGCAAAGTGCACAGACCCTTTGGGATTGTTTTTCCATTTCTCAGAGGACGAGGTGCTCAGTCGTACCTGTCTTAAAAGCGAGTGTGGAGGAAGAAGGGGATTGAATGAGTGAGTGAGCGTGAGAGATTGGATTAGGTACGAGCGACTAAGATTTGTTTTTAATTATCAATAGTTGACAAAGACTTTTTTTCTAAAGAAAAACCAGATAATGAAAGTTTTCTTAAAAGAACAAAATTTAAATCGACACAAGGGGAAACCCTTCTGTTCAAATATTATATGATCAGAAAAAGCTTATTGTTTATTAGATGTGACAGATTTACAACAAAAAATAGTGCATTTGGAGTCCCAGAAAATCCAGTTTACAGATGTCGAGCCCGGGTATCGAGATAAATACCGTACATGTAGCATTCTGTTCTGACTGTTTTCAGGATGGAGCCAAAGACTGGATTCTGGTTCAGCTTTCAGGCTACAGGTAAGGTTTTGTGCTGTTCTCACTTTGTTTGGATACTTTTTTATACCGGAACCTCCCAAAAACAACCGAAACCAACGCAAGAACCACCCAAAACCCCTTCAAAGTTTCTGTGATATGATGTCATACGCTATGCTATCTATCGAATATTAGTACAGTTGTGTGAGAAAATTGACTTTTGGAATGAAGATCGGAATTCTTACTATTTCAGTGTACTTGGCTTCTTATTTTGTTCCCCTTTAATTTTTTCCCCTTAAAATTCACAGAGAACTTCAGAGGTTTTTTTCGTTTATGAGAAATAAAGAAGAGTTATCTTTGGTGCCACGTATAATCTGCCGGCTTGTTCTTGACTCTTTTTATAAGAGAGAATGATGGTTTGTGAAATCTTTGTTCAACTTCATCCTTTATTTTGTTTTAACTGATGAGCGACTTCTCGGGTTGTAATTAATAGCCTGTACTCCTTAGAATTTTATTTAGTGTTATAGTAGTATTCAAGTATAGATTTTTCACATAATGTAATGATGCGTATTTAATTTCTGTTATCTTGTGCATGTTGTGAAGTATTCTAAGGAGAAGTGACCATGAAGTGACCACTAAAAATGTTTTTGGGGGAAATTATGAAAACTTGGGTTATCACTTATGATATAATATATTTCCTCGATATTTCCTGAACAAAGCCCAGAAACGTATGTAAGCGTTTTTGTACTCTAAATTGGAGTTTGAAGGGATTTTAGAGCAAACGGTAGAATCTTTTTTAAAGAAAATAATTGCCATTTTTTTCTCTCAAAAGGCATGTTTTACACAGCTTATATGTTTCAATTTCAGTAGGAAATCTCCAATCTATATCTGCTGTGATAATATTATTATCAAGTAGTTGCCAAGTTTTAGTTTGAAAAAAAAATTTTACGGTTTCTAATTGGAAAGAGAACTATTTTGGCTTTTTCTGACCTTTATCGGCCGTTTTCTTAAAATGCTATTTTAACACTTTTTATCCCATTTTTCTGCTGTATCTTATTCGATTTTAATGTAACTTTCACAGAATGTTAACGACACCTATTTCTAGAAATTGTCTTGAGGAATTTTTGATTGCATTTGTTGCTTTTGATAAATGGCGTCAGAAAGTGATTCTTGCCCTTTTTTCAGTTTTGCAATAAGCCGATTTCTTAAGTGCCGTAAAATGAAAACTAAAGCATATACCAAAAATTACCCAAGACAATTTTTAGATATGTACTTTTCCTATATACATGCCAAATTAAAAGTGTTTGAAATAAAAACAAATAAGTCAAACTAAGTGAAATGTTGTCTCTTATAATGCTATTCTATTGGGGTTTTTTTGGCTTAAATAATTTATTCAGGAACAAGAAGTATCCAAACACGATAATATTCTATTACAGATCAATACTTTATCCACAGAGCGATAGATAGCATTGCAAATAACATCATATCATAGGAATTTTGAGGAGTTTCGGGTGGTTTTTACGTGGTTTCGGGAGGTTTCGGGTGGTTTTGGTAGGTTTCGGTTGTTTTCGGGAGGTTCCGGTATAAACAAGTACCGCTTTGTTTTCCTTGATTTTTGTAAGTTGTTATAGCTTTCATTATTTTTTAAACCGACATTGATAAAGTTTAGGCCTTTAAATGGGTGTTCTGGTTTGGTTTTGTCTTTACTCTGCTTGTCAGGGTCAAACTAGGTTGATAAGCAAGGTACACCATCACACCGACAGATAGAGATAGAGGTACTTGAGAATGGACGTTCCCACGTGAGGAACTAAATTATTTTGCAACATCCAAGACCCTTGCTATTTCACCAAATACTACCTGAAATGCGGTATCACCTTTAAAAAATGCACTTCAGTAAATGTCACCCTTAATATTGTCATCTTTGTGAGTGAATGTCATTCTAGTGACATCAGATTGGAGTCTGCTACTAAAATTTCTAAAATCCATACCTTTTGACCAAATATATAGCAACGATGATATATATTTCAAACATTTCAAAAGTTAGCGAGACTTAAGCATGTACAAACTACAACACATGCGAAATGAACTAATAGGCCCCGAAAAAAAACTCGAATTTTTCAACAAAAACACTGATTGTCATCATTATTTCATATAATCTTAAAAAAGGGCTCCATTGCAGTAAAGATTACCTCTAGACGTACATTGTGTAAACAAAAGTGAAGCCGTTCGGATTAAAAATAAAGGAGGAGATGCAATTTAAAGTGGGAAAATAAATATTTATAAAAATAAACAACAACGAAGAAATAGATTTTTAAACACATGACCCAGCATTGCACATTATTTTTAACCCATATTTAGATGATTTCTAAACACAATTGATAGAATCCGGCGCTTGAAACTGGGAAGGAAGAGGATGAAGGTTTCAAAATTGGAGTAAAAAGATTTCATGGTCAAAGTGGGTAAACATGGGAAATTACCTACAGCAGATTGCCTAAATACCGCAGTTGACTAGTATGGCCGACATTGGTGAACCTTGCAGTCGCCGAGAGCCGCCACGCGCATTTAGATCTACTTAAAATATATAAAAATCGTGCTACACCAAGGTAGAATCGGGTGCTCATCAATTTTCAGTCTTTGGGCACATGGAATTATTAGTAAAATCTTACGGTTTATTAAGTTTGGTTTCGATGAAAAAGTAGCCATTTACCTTGATGTAAAGTCGAAATATCTGCTATTGAAAGTGGGGGTGGGGGAGGGGGCTGGGGGTCGCCTGTTGTCAGAGGTAAAATTAATGAGTAAATGGCCGCCAAAGTTTAGTGACATCCACTTCTTACAAATTACAATTTTCAATTCAACAGATGAATGCACGTGGCCTGTAATCCAACTGAATGGAAACAGGGGAAAGTTGCACCCTAGATATAATTGGAAATTGAAGTAAGTTGTTTTGTTTTGTTGTTTTTGTTTTTTTGTGGGTTATTTTTTTTTCACTGAGATAGATTTATAAGTTGAGAATCACAATTGTGATTTCTATAGTTACTTGAATTAGTTTTGGGTGGTTGGCGGGTGCTCTGGTATGGTGTGCTTCTTCTTTCCTATCAAATATATATCGTCCTTATATCTCTTCCTTCTTTCCTTTGCACGTTATTCCCTTGCAATACCTCTTAATCTTTGGCACCTACGATATACATAATATCACCAATTTTTGTTGCAAGTAACGGCTGTAAAACCTTCACTACTAAAACTAAACTTGTATCATTAGTTCAATTCGAAATACTCACCTGAGTACTACAGTACAACTCTACATTATATATCACTTAATAATATCAATAATAGTTTAATTCAAATGCGGTGTAATTTGGTGTAATTAGATGTGGTCTTTATTCTGTCTGTTTCTGCCTCTGTCTCTGTATTCCTCTGTACTTCTCCTAACCTCCCTTCTCTCTCTCTCTCTCTCTCTCTCTCTCTCTCTCTCTCTCTCTCTCTCTCTCTCTCTCTCTCTCTCTCTCTCTCTCTCTATCTATCTATCTATCTATCTATCTATCTATCTATCTATCTATTTCTCTCTCTGTCTGTCTCTCTCTCTCTTTATATATAATATATATATATATATATATATATATATATATATATATATATATATATATATATGTCTGTCTGTCTGTCTGTCTGTCTGTCTATCTATCTATCTACCCCCCCCTCCCCTCAGTTTCCAAACTGTGTTGCCCTCCAGCTTTTTACTCAATTTTTTTGTTGGGGATATCGATTAGTGACAACAACTCCCCGAATATTCGTTGTCTGTATTAAATGCTCCTGATAAAAGAACAGCGTTTGGCTCCAGGGAATGAAAATGAAAAAAAGTGTACAAGCGTATTATGCTTGTTTCAGAATGTATCGTGTGGGTATTGGGGGTTGTTTAAATGGTGGTCTTTTTGGTAAATATAGGAACAGGAGACTTATGGGGATCTATGTCATGGGTTGAGGTTGAATATGGGAATAAATGAACGCTTCTTTTGATAATGTTGAGTCTGTCATATTCTTATGATGTTTCTAGTTTAGGCTGGAGGTAGCCTCCAATGTTGAGCAGAACAATGGTTATTATCTTCTGACCTGCCTAATTTAACAACGTTCACCGTCTGTGCTCAGCATTTGTACTGGTCCTTTCTGGTGTCTTGTATCTTGCATGTATTTTTCTCCTCAGTAGTGAGGGCACTCGCTGGCTTTTTCCACTCACTATTTTGTTTTCAGCCTAAATGTTTTATGTTACTGAGCTGTACGGATTCGCACTTTAAGCTTTTCACAAAGACACAGACATAAGTGTGAGACCTGGGCATCTAAGTTGTTGTTTTTCAAACAAATTAAATCTTTGAGTCTTAATTTGTACGCTTTGTGGTTTTCACCGAAGGGTTTACTTACTATGGACTCCCTTAAAACTATCTTAGAATGTCTTTTTTCCTCCAGTCCTGCGACTGATGACGTCGTCTACTTGCCTATAGAAGGGAATTTGTTTATATTTTTTAAATTCTTTTCTTTATTTATATATGTACATAACGTGATATTCTTCCAGCTTTATGGCAAATTAGTTTCAAAATGCTGTTCCTTAAGCTTTTGCATGTTTTATTTCTACAGATGACGTTCTTTAGATAAACAGTGTCTATTACTACTTCCATACAAGATCTAGACGACATTCTACGAGTTAGGAGCTCCTTCAGTCATGACTTGTAAATATCGATGTAAATGGTTCTTTTCTATTGCAGAAATTTATTCTGCACTTGGGAAATTCGGAAAAGCTCCAATTCCTATTACTCTACAGAAGCTGTGAAGATAAAAGCAAACAACAACTTTTCTATGATAAGTAGTAACAGATTCAGAGTTTTCGAAGGTATGTCTCATCAGTGCAATGTTTTGGTACAACTTTGTCTAGTCTACATTTTTTTCTATGGTCTGTGTGTTGGGTTAGGGCAGAAATTCAGACGGTGGGTGGTTGGTGGGTGCTTTGCTCTGGTGTGGATTGCTCCTTCTTTGATATCAAACAACTATCGTCCATTTTTCTCCTCCTTCTTATTATGTTTATTGCTCTCTTGTAAAACCTCTAATCACCGACCCTTATTTGACTTAAGGTACTTTGCTAAGTGGATAAGGAGCCTTGAAAACTCCCCACACGGTTAAGGTTCAGAAACACACAATTGTGCCATTGCCCAGCATGAAAGCAACCGAGCTCTCTCTCTCTCTCTCTCTCTCTCTCTCTCTCTCTCTCTCTCTCTCTCTCTCTCTCTCTAAATCTCTTACTTATTTAATTTGCATTATTAAGAAATATGCAATTTACACAGTTTAACAGAGCTCACGCTGGTTCAAGATACTTCATTACCTTAATTGTATGGCGCATCTTTCTTTCTTTTTTTGTCCTTGTGGGGGATGAATGGAGGGAACCTCAAGTAGGTTCTACTTCTTTACATTCCTTCTGTCGTTTTAGTCTGCCTTCCTTGCTCTTTCTCAGTACTAAAGGAACATTTTATGGATTTGCTACTCTTTGTTGGGACGAAACAAAATAGACACATTGATTCAATTTTTGCATATCATGAATGTCTTCTTTAACCTTCAGTTGGGCGAAATGATATCAAGAAAATTGCTGACGTCAACCAAGGCTCTAGCAGAAACATGTGGGTGCATGTGGAGGGCTCTGCGCGTGTAGAGGTCGAGATTGTGTCTGCTCCTGCGAACATCCCACCGCCTAATATCTTTGACTTTGAATATGTGCTCTTTTATTCTTCACCAAGTAAGAACATATCTATTTGAATGTCAATTTTTGTTACTTTTTAAGCTACCATGTAATAACATATTATTGTTCCGTATCGAGTATACTATACCCAGTTCGAGCTCTACAGTGCGTGTTCACTTATCACTAGACCATTGGTGTATTACTTACTCATAGTTCCTCAAGAGTGGTGGAAGAATCATACATTCAGCAGCGTCTGGACCATATCAAACCAAATGCCTATTGTAGATATCGTCTCTGTAATTTTCACCAAGCACAAATAAGTCCATCATGAGGACATTTGCAGGAGAGGCAAAAAAAATATGCACGTTTCACTTGCACTTTTTGTGTTTACATTGCATGATTGGTACATTAACTCTGTAAAGAGTAGATTCATGATCTTCGGGTACGCGAGGAAGAACCTCAGTCCAATTAGGCAAAAATCGAAGCACAAAAGATGTAGAATATTACACGGGTGATTATTAAGTGATGCATTCAAAATATTCCGTTTTAATGGGACGTTGGTATTAGAATTTATAAAGGAAATTTCTAAGTTGAAAGAATAGTTGTATTAGAAATTTAAACCTTATATTTTAAAAATACACATTGGACATTGATTAGAGCATAACACATCATAGTTACTTAGTGTATGTCCGTTGCAGGTGGGTTAAGGCCAAAACGTCCAATGTATCTTGTGATAAGACGGCCAATACAACTGTTTTGTTACAGGTTCTCTAGTATTTCTCATATTATATATACACATAAGTATATACATATTAATATACATATATATATATATAATATGTGTGTGTGGTGTGTATGTGTGTGTGTGTGTGTGTGTGTGTGTGTGTGTGTGTGTGTGTGTGTGTGTGTGTGTGTGTGTGTGTGTGTGTGTGTGTGTGTAGGGGTGAGCAGGAAGGTTTCGGACACTTCTTACGTTTGGCCCTACTGTTCCTTTCAGGAACAATTTATGTCAAAGAAAAAGGTTTCACAGTTGTTGTAAGCCATTTGGGCATCTCCACTTGCGAAAACAGCTTCGGGTGTCATCACGTTTTACTGCCAGAGAATCATATCTAGGGCACTCTTAAATGTCCGAAACCATCCCACTCTGCGAGAGACATCGGACAAATGTGACGGAAACTTCGGACCAAGAGAGGTGATTTCCGACAGTGTGGTTTTTGTGTATCAAATATTATTTTTGAGAAGCACAATTTCGACACCACACACGTCTATACCTTTACCTTTTGTTTGAGGTTTGAAAATGTATTTAACTCTCACTGGAAATCGTAGAAAACAGTTATTCAAATATCTGTAAACTGGTCAGCTTTTATGCTCTTTTGTACGTGTTGACTTGAAGTCTCCCCTTATCATTGTAGAACAGAGCTCAGTGATGCCCCTAATAGCGAGATATTTTTTGCAATGATGTTGTTGTTGCTTTCAAATCCCTTTAGCTGCGAGCCTTTCGCTCTTGGCAGCGCAATGCCACCCTCAAGTAACCACATGTCCTTGTCATCTGGTCAACGCCAGAGTAGAGCAGGCTTTGTAAGTCAGTAGGTGTATGTAGGAGCTTGCGTCGAAGAACTGCCAGGTTTGGGCAGTGAAGGAGAAGATGTTCAATGGTCTCCTCGTGGTAGTCACAGTGTCTTTTTGCAATGATAAACAGAGATGAAAAGTATTCTTCTCCACGTTAGTTTCCGAGTCAGTCAACGTCTGGATTTGGTGAGAGCACAGCATAATATGTGAGGCAGCGTGGTGGAATCAGGCTCTCGTCAAAATAATCAAAGTGAAGAAACTTGCATTTTCCGCAGGATTGTGAATTTTTATCAAATTTTAATTTTTGTTTTTTGACTCAACACCTTTCATGCCCATTAAAGAACTCATTTCGGTGAGGATTTTTTTTTAAAGCGTTGATTAAAAGCATAAAAAAGGTAAATCTTCAGTTACCATGGACTCTTAAGCTAAGGAAATAACTAATCTTTGGCAGCCAGTTTCTCACTAATTTTACCTCTAAAAACAGGCGACCCCTCACCTCCTTCTTTTGCAAATATCTCGACTTGTATATAAGATAAATGGATATCTTTTGCATTCAAATAAAGACAAGTGAACAAACTTTCAGATTATACCTATAACACTACATGCCCAAAAATTGACGAGAGCCTGATTCCACCACGCTGCCTCCCAATATAAAGGTGCTCCATTTGATAAGCCATTATCGCTATTTCTCTGTGAGCGATGAATTCTGGTTCGAATCCAGGTATGCGTGTTCTTGTGCATGGGCTGTTTGGGGGGGGGGGGTCAATAATTTTCATGGTTTTATGTTACGTCCTAACGGAGAGGAACGAAAAACAGGAGATCTATCATCTCAAATGACCTGACAGTTATAGCCTTCCGGAAGAGGTTTCGAAACAACCAAATCAAAACAGCTGAAGGAAAGTCTGTAGATTAAATAAAGTAAATCAGAATTCGTTTTAAAAGATCTTTAAGTGTTGCACGTTGTTTGGGCTTTTGAAGATGAAATTCAAACGCTCTGGAGATTTCAATGAGAAAAGAAACATCAACAGATGCCGTTTTAACGATAAACTTATAGGAGATGTTCGACGTCTTTGTTGAGTCTCAAATTGGAGGAGGAATAACTGGTCTCATTTTACAATGGCCAACTTTTGTACAGGTGGATAGGTGAAAGCAGTGCTTTCATATTCGATTTTCTTATGGAAGACACTCAAAGTCGTCCTCTTCGTCTTTCTCTGACACCGTTTTCCTAACGAAGTGGACACTCTTCCCAATAATCCCAATTTTGATGACAGCAAAGTTACTTCCTTTAGGTTTCACGGGAAGGGCATCACTTTTGAACCAGAACCAAGAAAAACAATCTTTCCGGGTAGACTATGTTCACATGCCATGTTTCTGGCATGATTATATTTTATGTTGTTCGCCATGAAATATCATATGATATATTATGACAGCCGTCGTGTTAGAACAAAATCCTTGAACATTTTATCAAATCTTCCGAGAGTTTATTTTTCTTCTCGCCGAGGATCGTCAACAAATTGTACAGTCGTTAACGAGTGTATCTAAAACACACCAACGTCTTCTCACCGTTGTAAATTAATGTCTTTCAGAGCAGATTTCTGCACGACGCAAAGACAATGGGGGCATGCAGAGCGAGTTGCATCGTTTTGTGAACTAAAATAAAAGGCTCTTTTCTTGTAGGGGCTCTATATTACCCTTGATATGGTTCAGTCTGGGATATACAACAACAGAAGTGGAAACTCTTATTCCAGCTACTCTTAAATAAGTCGTCGGGAGATTCGGACAGTGTACAAAGTCACTTTACCCTTGTATGAAGTTCCTCTACATGTGGGTAGTGTACAAAGCATATTCATGAAACAGACATCATGAAAGTTAGGTTTAATTAGTATGAATTTGGCACGTAAAAGATGTCCTAAAGCACTGATACCTAGTTTTGTGAAAGGATTGGTGCACTACTGTGACGTGTAAACCTTACAAACTGAGGTGGGAAAACTTAAATACACCCTTGTCAAAAACACATTTTCCTTCACAGCAGATGCAAGGTTTTAATCAGTGAGGGGGCAAAAAACACAGCAAGCTGAGCCCCACATGGCGCATTGTGTTATCTTGTGAGAAAGTGTGTACTATCAATAGTTTAGAGAGACTTGGATGTGTCCGCAGTCTCCCTGTGTCTGAAGCCTCCCTGCTCTCCCCTATATATATATATATATATATAATCAAGTACCTCCTTAAAACCATTTAGTTTATTTTTGTTCTTTGACAATGGACTTTTAATCATCCTCACAGAACAGTGCGGCCCCTATGAACTGAAGGCTCTGACCTCTCCCCAGCTGGCGTATACCCCAAACTACCCAAACTTTTATCTCCGGTAAGAGTGTGCAATTAGATAGTATTCAGTCCATATACGTGAGTATTTGTGTGTGTGTGTGTGTGTGTGTGTGT